TAAATTTGAAGTCGGAATCAAACAGTGTTTGGTTATCAAGTAATGCGAGCGATACGACTCAGCCATCAGGACGTCCACAACATATTGAGCCAAATGTGGATTTTTGGGCATTTAATCCATTAGTGATCTCAATATTAGTGATTTTCTCAATATTATTGTTAAGTATTTTTGGGATATGTTTTCACAAAAAAGTCAAGAAAATTAAAAGCCGAGAAACAACTCAAATACCAATGACTGGAACTTTAAGCAAATGTATGCAACAGTACGTTACAAATCCTAATTATTACACCAGGTTTGATCTTCTTTTAATTTATTTTATTATTAATATTAGTTTTTCGTATAAGACTAGTGTTGGGAAAAATGAAAAATTACTCCACATATAAGAGAATTGTTATTTGAATTACTGCCTTAAAGAATAGAGTATTTTGTTTTGATGATTAATTATTCACTTATTTTTTGTAACTAAAGAATTGTCGATAAAATATAGAGAATAGGAATTGTGTTTCACTGAAAGCTTTAATTCAAATAATAGATTATTGATTAGTATTGAATTTATATGCCTTCGTATTTGTAGCACTTTTAATGAATCACATCGTATTCTTACATCTTATCATTTATTTAATATTTGTTATAATTAGTTCAGCTTTTATTAATAAATTGAAGTGAATTTATGATGAAAATATTATATTAATAAATATAATTATTGATTTCTAATAGTGAATGTACATATTTAATAATGATGCTAACTATAAGACGTTTGATTACAGTTCTCCCGACGGCCCGATGTATAAACTCATTCAAGACATTGAGATTTTTGACGAAGACATTACATTTGGTGAGGAGATCGGTGAGGGATGCTTTGGCACTGTTTTTAAAGGTTGGTTTACAACTATTATAACCATTAGTTGAATAATTTATTAAATATAAGAATATTTAAACTTATTATTAATATTTGAAAATTAATGAAGATTATCAGCAAATAAACATAGTGATAGATTTAAATAAATAGTTTAGTATAAAGATTTAAAGTTTAAAATATACAGTAGTTTGAATAAAACAAATACAACATCTTTTAATTAAGTTTTATCAAATAACTTATATATTCTGTGTTAATTATTTGTGCAAATATGATAATTATGCGTATAAATCAGTATAAATAAATATTTAAAATTTGAATTTATAATTCTTTTAATTAGATAAAATCCATGTTTTTATGTATTATATTACTTAATTCATTAGTCAAAATAATTGTTCATGTATTTATTAAATAATTGCAAAATTATTAATTTCTTGTGAATAATTTCTGTTATTTTCAACTTTGATATGAGATTTAAACGCTTTAATTATTTTTAATGTTAGATTTATTTTATTTTAATGCATATATTTTATTCAAATTAAACGTGTTTTTAAAAGATTTTGTTTAAATCACTTAAATAATAGATCACATTATAATATGAGATGTAAATTGTTTTGTCACAGAGTATTGCTTTTATTTCATTTTAAGTTGATTTTAACTGTAATTAAACTGTTAAAGAGTAATTAGAAATGAATGTAATATAAGGCACTTACAAGCAATCGGACGCAACTATAATTCAAGTGGCGATCAAAGTATTGAAAGAAAAAAACGAATCAAAAGAAGATTTTGAAAGAGAGATAGAAATCATTTCTACTTTCAATCACAAGAATATAATCAAATTGATTGGTGTTGTGGTCAGGGATTGCAATGCAATGCCATATATGGTATTTGAATACATGATGTTTGGAGATTTGGCTGAATTACTCAGAACTAAGAAATTAAGTCCACAAAAGGACATCACAGAAGAACCGGACAATGAATCCTATTTTATGACTCATGTATTTGTTTGCTTTACTTCCCATTTATTTCCTTGTTTTTTGACAATACTTATACCAAAACTATACTTTTTAGGATCAATTGATTTGGATTTCAACTCAAATATCTAACGGTAATTTACTTTCCAAATATCAATCATTTAAAATATTAGTTTATTTTTGTTGATTTAATATTTAAAAACCAAGTAATCATTGATTACTAATCAATATTTACATAGTATCAAGATATGTAATATTGATATTGAGTTGAGATTAAATTGATTCATTTGTTCTTATATTTTATTATAAAATGCTATATTTGTAACAATTAAGTAAATTTACTAATGATTACAAACGGCGATAATTTTGTCAAACCGGTTTTTGCATTGTAATTATATTTTTTAATGTACAATGAAAAACTCAATGAATTTAAATCAAATTAATTTAATATAAATTGTTCACAATTTACGCTCTATTATTGAGGTTCTAATTCTTGATAAAAATACAATTTAATAACTCAATGAATATATTACTGGGAATAGTATTAAGGAACTGATGTGACACATAAGCCTCCAAGGCTTCTATTTATAGCCAATTTATAATACAAAACTAATTCTACAACAAAATTGATTTAGTTTTATATTATATTTTTAAAAAGGTTGTAAGTATTTATCGGACAATCACTTCGTTCACCGGGATTTGGCCACAAGAAACTGTTTGGTCGGACAGAACCTCACCGTTAAGATCTCGGACTTTGGGATGTCTCGCGATATATACACTTGTGATTACTATAAGGTTTATATAGAATTTAATGTATTTTATGATTTATCGATTTAATAAGTGCATACTGTAGTGCACTACACTGTATACCTTTATACAAATTAAAGTTACAAACGTATGTATTTAACGTTGATTATACTTTCATAGGTGGGCGGCTCTAAGCTTCTACCTGTGCGATGGATGAGTCCGGTGAGAGTCAACAATATAACAATTATATCCACCTTTTTATACATTAACTCACAATAACTTATCAAATAATATATATAATTTGTTTGATTAATATCCATAAATTTAATCATTAGTTTATATTTCTGGAAATTTGTGCTTATTATCACCAAATCAATGACTTTTGGGACTTAATTCACTAAACTATTCACTAATTGTTTCAAAATACGTGTAATTTATTAAATATGAATCCATTAGATAATGAAGAATATTCTTTATTACATCAAATATATTCCAAAAGAGATAACTATTTTATAAGTTATTTAAATTAATTAGCAATAATTTGCATTCATGACAAACACTCATTTAAATACAAAATACAAACAAATTTTTTATTACAGGAAAGTATTCTTTATGGGAAATTTACTCTCGAATCTGACGTTTGGTAAGCTCTCTCTCTCTCTCTCTTATCATTATAATTATTATATTACGGTTTATATGTTGTAATGCGGGTTGTAAATGATAATATTAAGGTTTATTTAATTATTAAAATAATGAACTTCGACCATCGGCCTATTCACTAAAGTAATCATCTACTATCTACTATTGTGTCACCAATTTTTCAATTTTTTAATTGAAGATTAAACTAAATTTTAAGACCAAAATCTAAAGACACCCCCGATTTGATGACAT